GTCCAACCTAATAGCAATGGCGTCCAACCTAATAGCAATGGCGTCCATTCTGATAGCAATGGCCTGCAACTTAATAGCAATGGCCTCCAACCTAATAGCAACGGTTCTTGACAAAGGTAGCTAGTAGCTACCCTCTCCACTGCAAGATCACCGCGTGCTACCATTCCGATCGTAGGTAGGGGAGGTTGTGGACAGGTTATGTGTTGTGTGTTTGGCTATCCAGTCCAATATTGTATTAGGTTGGAGGCCATCGCTTCTAGGTTGGAGGCCATTCCTATTGGGTTGGAGGCGATCGCTCTTAGGTTGCAGGCCATCGCTTCTAGGTTGGAGGCCATTGCTAGTAGGTTGGAGGCCATTTGTTCCAATATGGTAGGACAATGTCGTCAGATGTGTGGAACTCAGTTCGGCGCAAGGCTTTTGAGACGGTCTTCTTTTTCAATGTTTGACTCAGAATAGAAGTGTTTCTTGCGAGCACGAAAGTCTGACAAGGACCCTTTCGGCGAATATCAAAGAACAAGAGAACAAGAGATTGAAACGCTTTCTTCCTTTCCCACCATACGTTGAGCTGTGACTGCATGCTCAGGACGGCTACAAGCTGTTTGTGGGAAGCTTACCAGCGGTCTGGCGCCTCAGCATGTGCTCGTATTGAACTTTTCCTTTTGTTTTGCTTGTCTTCGTAGCCTGTAGACCTTTCCTTTTCTGTTTTCATCCTGTCATATCATATCAATATCCTATTCTGTTTTTGCGTCCTTTTCGTTCGTTGTCTGCCAAAGGCTCGACTTAGAGGTCTTAGTACTTACAGTACTTACCTTAATGCCGTTCCGGTTTCGGCCGAAGGCGGCAAAGTCGGTTTCATCGCCTGAAAAGGCGTTCGAATTCTTTTGCTTTAGCAAGGCAAGAGGCGCCAGGCGCCAGGCAAGGCCTTCTAACATCCAAGAAACAATCGCAACAGGCCTTTTTTTCCCTGAGAAGCACAGACAAACGAAATCGGTTGGAGGCCATCGCTATTAGGTCCTGAGAAGCACAGAAATCGGAACGAATGCCAAGGATTGCACCTCAGAGGAGTTGCACGCGGTGTTTTCAACTTATGGGGTCGTTGGGAGCCGAGATGCAGAACACATGACGCTACGAACGGAGCAAAGGGCATCGCTACTAGGAGTAGGGGCGCTGATGGCCTTACTACTAGGAACAAGAAGCTCCTAGTAACAAGTGCATCGCTTCTAGTAACAAGTGCCTTACTAGTAGTAACAAGAAGCTACTAGTAACAAGAAGCTCCTAGTAACAAAGGGCATCGCTACTAGGATGAAGGCCATCGCGAGGTTGGAGGCCATCGCTAGCAGGTATGTTTTGTTTGAATGAGTTTGCTTTGCGCAGTGCAGACGACACTTGAGCCTTCATTTCACCTAGATATTTTCTTCTCACCTCAGGTGACGCATGTTCATGCCACGCTGGCGGAGAGTTTTCTTCGGTTGTGATGGCCTTTAGAGTGTTGGTAGAAGCTTGCAGAAATAAGCTGTAAGAAGTAAGAGCACTTAATGGAACACTCTTCATTATAGTCCTTGTTACTGGTAGCGATGGCCTCCAACTTACTTGCGATGGCCTCCACGGAGCATAGTGTCCTTGTTACGTTCGTAGTAATGAGAATGAGAGGTTGTGGGAATGGCATGGCAGGTCATGAATCCTCACCCACGATCTGGACAGAGGCGACGGGGAAAGACTTCGGTCCGAACAAAAAGGGTCAAAAAGACAGAAAGGGTCAACAAGTGCATCGCTACTAGGAACAAAGAAGCTAGTAGAAACAAGTGCATCGCTTCTAGTAACAAGTGCCTTACTAGGAACAATGTTTGCTACTAGTAACAAGTGCATCGCTACTAGGAACAAGGGCCTTACTAGTAGTAACAAGAAGCTAGTAGAACATCATGAAAGGTCTTATATTGGAACACATGTCCTAAGAAATCAACCCAACCAAACATCAAACCTCACATTTTGGAAATTCATCAACCCAAAGGTGAATCTTTATGTGATGAAAAGTTTCAATCATTTGCGACGTCTAACCAGTTACTAAACACTTAACTTAACCAGACAGCCCATATAAGCTGGTTCAATGGCTGTAAAATCAATGTTTCATTTTTGCCAGGTACGTTCCAGTACCAAGCAAATAATTGCAGGGCCTCCGACGCCACCCGCCCCTGAGCTCTTGATTAGTGTACGCACCCCCCTCCCAAAATCCATGAGACTTTTGATTAATAGTTGATTCTGAAAAATCAACAGGAAACCAAAAGGAATAATAAGGAAATCTAAAGGAAATCTAAAGGAATCAATAAGAATTCAAAACGAATCAACAGGAATCCAAAAAGAATTAAAAGAAATCAAAAAGAATCAACATGAATTAAAAAGAATTAACAGTAGCTAAAAATAAATCAATAGGAAATAAAACGAAATCCATAGGAAATAAAAGGACATCAATAAGAATTAAACCGATAAGGACATCAATACGAGTTGAAAGGAAATCAAACCAAAAGAAACAGGAAACTCAGGTAACTGTTCTATGGTAAAACTTTTGCCGGGCAAAAATCGTAGACGTTATTTCTGGGGTTATATTATTCAAGATTTCGGCTTCACTGGGCTACTCCCTTCGTGCAATGGATTTTTTCAATTTTTGTATAGACTTGAATCAAGGATTTCATAAAGAGCCGACGCACACAAAAGGTTGTATTTTGGCTCACTCACTCACCTACTTACCTACGTACCTACTTATGTATCTTTTTCTTTACATAACTCAACTTCGCTTAGCTTCAATTAAACTTAACTGGCTTAACTTGCGTATTTTTTTTTTTGCTTTGTTGTATATTTACTTACTAAACTTTGTTTCACTTACAAACGCACCTAGTTACTCACACGCACTCACTCAGCGACGCTCGGCGGCTGCTCCCCTTGGATGTCCCAGCGTTCAGCATCTCATGGCATCCGGATCCGCAGGGTTGCCTACTTTTGGGTGCAACGCTCTGTAGTAACAGGTGCCTTACTAGTAGTAACAAGAAGCTACTAGTAACAAGTGCATCGCTACTAGTAACAGGTGCAACGCTCTGGATGTAGCGGACTGAAAGGGTACAGGACAACACCGATCAAACGCGACAAGGTCGAAGTGCAAAGCCGTGTGCGGCAACCGCAAAGCCGTGTGTCGAAGCGCAAGGGATATCAATTGGCGCCGCGGGAAGACCGCAGGTGCAGCTGTCTGGGTCGTTCCCAGGCTGTCTGGATCAAAAACACGCAGTGTCGCTCTCGATGGAGCGGTTGACGCAGTCTGAGATCAGCCGTGGACCACCGTGGCTTACCATTAATTATTTCACTGTTTCTGAGCTCTTTGTTTTCGGTGTTTTCGAGGGATCGCGGAAACTTGGGGAACGGGTGCGTTGGACACTCACAGGCTTTTGTTTTGAAATCAGCTTGGAACTTTGGTCAGGTGTGCCTTTGTTTTCTACACCACAAAAGCAGCAGGAGACGATGCTTGTAAAGCCGAATGCCAAGAAAACCCATGTGCCAAATATCTACTGGCAGTGAGCACTTGGAAGCGTGTTGCATCATTTTTCCTGCTCTTTGCACTTTGCCAAACAAGGCCTTATGGTACTTTGTGCGGATCAATTACTTGTAAATGCGACCGTTGTTGGCAAACATCCCTTTCATCAGTCAACACACTTGGCTTTGCGGTGATGACATGATGATTTGAGCGCGAGGTCTTAGACAATCAGTACAGGATTCGTACTGATGCGGCCCAACCCATTGTGGTTAGATGGTCCAAGGACAGCAGTTTGGAGTGGAAGCCACACCCGCACCACCTGCACTGCATTGGAATGATCCCCTGAAATCCAAACGCGGAGAAGAACCGCAAGAGAAACTGGACAATCTAAGAGGGAATAGATGTTGCCAGACCAACAGGTGGGCTGTAACTAGACCAATCCAAACAACTAGGAGCAAGAAGCTACTAGGGGCTCCTGGCATCGCTACTAGGAGCAAGGACACTACTAGGGGCTCCTGGCCGTACTACTAGGAGCATCCTTACTACCAGTATCAAGAAGCTACTAGGAACAAGTGCATCGCTACTAGTAACAAGTGCCTTACTAGTAGTAACAAGAAGCTATTAGAAGCTATTAGTAGGCTTTCCAGTCCGTCTCGAAGGATAGTGGCTTTGATGCAGCCGCCAATGGCCGAAACCTTTGGCGTCGGGTCGTTCGTTGTGTTCCCTTGAACTGCATGGAGTCATTCGATCCTAGTAGCAAACAACTAGGAGCAAGAAGCTACTAGGGGCTCCTGGCCTTACTACTAGTAACAAGAAGCTACTAGTAACAAAGGGCATTGCTATTAGTAGCTTTTTGCTACTAGTAGAAAGAATGCTCCTAGTAGCGATGCCAGGAGCCCCTAGTAGCGTCCTTGCTTCTAGTAGTAAGGTCGGGAGCATGTAGTAGCGTTGTTGGACACATCCTGTCCATTGCAATTCAGCAGAACGCATGCGCCCTGCTCTGGCCAACAAGAGGTGATTGCGAAGATGGCCTGCACCCAAGCAAGTTTTTAATTGTCAGATAGTTTTAAATATGTTTTTGGTATGAGACATGTGTGTTTTGTGTTCATCCTTTAAGCGGTGTCCAAATGAAGAGATGCAGTGGACTCAACGGCCATGTCAGATTCAACGCAACTTAGTGACATTGATCACTCCTCCTCGCAGACCTTTTTCCAACCCACGACTTGAAACTGAAAAAGAACAAGAGTAACAAGAAGCTAGTAGTAATAGGTGCCACGCTACTAGTAACAGGTGCCTTACTAGTAGTAACAAGGTTCGCTACTAGGAACAAGTGCAATCCACGGTTTTTAAATCCTCAGGACCAAGACGAAGCGATCCACCAGAAGATGGCTGGGATCCGAGCACTCTCGGAGAGTCTATTTGTCAAGAGTCTATGCTTTGAGAGGATTTGGGGATCCTGTCTCTTTGGCGAGAAAACAATCAAGGTACGAATCAATGATGTCTGAGGCCACAAACTTTTTGTTGGCAATCTGCCTGCAGATCTCAGTGAAGAAGAACTGAGATTAGTGTCTTGAGCTAAGTCTGCCGACTAGAATTATTCGGACCTAGCTTGAAGGCCATCGCTTCTAGCTTGAAGGCCATCGCTACTAGCGTGGAGGCCATTGCTATTAGTTAATACCCAACAAAAAAGTCGAAGCAGATGAATGCTGATCAGCAGAGTTTATCACTGCAGGTCAGCACCATTTGGAGCGAATAAGATTGTGTTGGTGGTACGTAGTTGCAACATGGGGCATTTCTCACCCAGAGCCCGATAAGGCAGTAAGTAGCACTCAGGTTATTGTTGAAGGTGTACGTGGATATACCAACCTTTCGTATCTGAGAAGCATTTGTTCGGTGGTTTGAAGGTTTGGAACATATGGAGAAGTTGTGTTGGGAGCTTAGAGACAGGACGGAAGCCAACTGTGGCCTTTGCTTTGCAGATTCTTTTTCGGTAGCGCGTGCTCCGTGTGGCTGTAAGTTTCCCTATTCGTAGCTTGCAGTCAACAAGAGAAGCTACTAGGGGCTCCTGGCCTTACTACTAGCAACAAGGACGCTACTAGTAGCTCCTGGCCTTACTACTAGTAACAAGGGCATCGCTACTAGTGACAAAGGGCATTACGACTAGGAGCAAAGGATGCTACTAGTAGCAAGAATGCTATTAGGAGCAAAGGGCATTGCTACTAGGAAGAAGAAGCTACTAGGGGCTCCTGGCCGTACTACTAGGAGCAAAGGATGCTACTAGGAGCAATGTTCTTTTAGTGTTTTTGTTTCAACTGGCCGACCGGCGGAGGCACTGCCACATCATGAGTATTCATCCTAAGTCTGGATTGAGGCCCTCGGTTTTGCGAAGCTGTCCAAAACCGGAAGCGCTTTGCGTAGCCACTTCTTGCTACTAGTAACAAGTGCATCGCTACTAGTAACAAGTGCATTACTTCTAGTAGCAAATAGCTACTAGTAGCTTCTTACCACTACTAGCTGCGATGCACTTGTTACTATTAGCTTTTGCTTTGGACAAGTCTATGTCAAACCATTTTGTTTGGGACTCCGTGTGTGTACCTTGTGGGATACCTTTTTGGCAGGTGTGCGTTTGTGTACTACAGAGACCTCCAGTCTGCAGAGGATCGTCAATGGCCGCGACATGCTGCCCGCGACATGCTGTTCTTTTGCTTCTCTGTTACTAGTAGCATCCTTTGCTCCTAGTAGTACGGCCAGGAGCCCCTAGTAGCCCTTTGCTCCTAATAGCATTCTTGCTACTAGTAGCATCCTTTGCTCTTAGTCGTAATGCCCTTTGTCACTAGTAGCGATGCCCTTGTTACTAGTAGTAAGGCCAGGAGCTACTAGTAGCGTCCTTGCTACTAGTAGCGATGCCCTTTGAAAACTACGAATAGGGAAACTTAACTACTAGCAATGGCCTCCAGCCTAATGATGGCCTCGCTTCTCCGCTTTATGCGCCAGGCTGCGATTCAATTATTAGATAACGAGTACCGGATTCGAGAGAAAGCAATGGAACCCATCCAGGCGCTTGGGGGGTCCTTGTCGAAAAGGAAGAAAAGGTTCAAAGAAGAAGGAAAGACATATAAAGAAGAAGTAACAAGAAGCTACTAGTAACAAGTGCCTCGCTTCTAGCAACAAG